AATAATTAAAACACAGACCTATTCCAGAGCCCTTCCATTACTAACTGGATTATTTTAACATAATTTTAGGTGTATTTGTGATCTTTATTATTCAAGTATAGATGATGTAATGCTTAAAATTATGGGAAGCAAAACAATGAACTATCATTCTTCAGAAAAATTATTCAAACCTTGGAAATAGAAAAAATATATTAATGGTTATTCTTTCAGTATGGTTCTACATTGGAATTTCTATCAACATGGCTACTTTATAGTTCCATAGGCACAATGAGTAATTTAAAAATATACATATATATATTTTATTGATTTTGTACAGAGAGGAAGGGAGAGAGATAGAGAGTTAGAAACATCAATGAGAGAGAGTCATTGATCAGCTGCCTCTTGCACACCCCCTACTGGGGATATGCCCGCAACCAAGGTACATGCCCTTGACCGGAATCGAACCCAGGACCTTTCAGTCCCCAAGCCAACGCTCTATCCATTGAGCCAAACCAGTTTCGGCATACAATGAGTAATTTGTTGATTTGTATCCACTAGATTCAAACAATGTCTGTCCAATGGAATATCCTCAATGTTTATGATTTACTAAAGGCCCAGTGCATGAATTCATGAACAGATGGGGTTCCTAGGCCTGGCCAGCAATCAGGGCCTATCAGAGCTGTCTCACACAGTCCCTATCGGGGCGGGGAAGATTGGGGTCTGCAGGCCATGGGGAAGGACTGTGGGAGGTTGGCTGTGGGAGCACACTGACCACCAAGGGGTAGCTCCTGTGTTGAGCATCTGTCCTCTGGTGGTCAGTGAACATCACAGCAACTGGTCAACTGGTTGTTCCAGTCATTCGGTCGTAGCAGTCGCTTTGGCTTCTATATATATAGATTATACTATAAGACACCAAACTAACAAAATCCTTGATTTCTTCATTTTACCTACCATATGTAGGAGCTATATTTTTAAGTTTAAAAATATAGTTTAACAATGTAATACTTTTTGCTAACATTCAAACGGCATCTTTTATTCTAGTGAACTTCCCTAATGGGCCTAATTTCATTGATAAATGACCTTTCTTTTGCCTACTTAAAAATTGAAATATTACATTGATCATTTGTATTTCCTGTTTTCTATAAACATATCACTCATACATCCAAATTATGATATGGTCAATTCTTATATGTTCATAGGTCCCAATCAATGATAGCTATCTTGATGTCATAACAAGTTATTTGTCCTATTTAGTTTTCCTAAAGCTACTTAATTAAGCAGTGAGCAATTAGAAAAATGTATTCAATAGTTAAAATTTCTTTTTTTCTAAACTTATCACTCTGAAAACAGTTATAGAAGTCAAAACATATGAAACTACATTAATACACTGAGTTCAACATAGAAAAAAAAACATTCTGACTGTCCTAGCAAAGAGTTAAATTAAATTATGAAATAAGGCACACAAAAGCACTAACATCATTAAAGGTTATGCTACAAAAAACTTTTAAAATAAATAAAACTGAAATAGAACAATCACACAAGCTTTGCTACTATGTCTATATTATGGTACTTTCCAGGAGTGACAGTTGGCAAGGTTCTTAATATTCATGGATGTAATCCCTTTTTCAGGAAACCATTTCTTCTAGTTAGGGTCAATTTTTTCTTTATTACTCATATCCTCATCAAACAGAAACCATAATAAAATCAAAATGAATTATATCTGAAGATTATTATAAATGATTAGAGTATTCTACAATTTGTTATTATTCCTTAAATATCTATTCTTGTAAGCTCATGTATTTTTAGCTATTTTATTATAAAAGATAGATGGACATACTGGCATTAAAAGAAATAGATAAATGAAATGAGAAAAAATGGTAAAATTGCATAATAGAGTTTAGAAATACCTTTTTTTCACTTTTTACTGAATAAATATCAGTGTTGGCTAATATAATTTAGAAAATTTTTAATATTTTTCTATGCCATCATTAGTAAATAATAGAGAAAATAGAGTTAAAAGCTAATAAAATATAAATAACACAAACTTCCCTTCCTAGTGAGAGTTCCTGTAATATGGTATTTAATTCAAATAAAAAAAAAAATCTAAAATCCTGTTTATCTGACATGCCACATTGTTTTGGTAAAATTTTTGATAAACACTAAAAATTAAGGTAGCAATTCAGTTCCTGTTCCTGTTCCAATGGGCCATCCATCAAGTTTAAATTATAAGTGTTTTTTTTTTTTCTTAACAATTGTTTGGTGATAGATCAACCATAATTGATTTAGACACCTTCAAATATTAACTAGTATACACTAAAAACTTTTTAAAATTTCGATCAGATTTGGCCCAAGGTCACTAATATATCGTTCATCTTCTACTATGTAGTGACATTTGTTGAATATTACCTTAGGTTACATTTTTAGCATTTCTCCTGGCATGCTGAGATTAGATGTGACAATTCTTGGCCATAAGAAAACACAAGGTCAATTCTAAAAAATATAATACTATATATTCCATGCAATTTTATTTGCTTATCTATATTACACAGGCCGTTCATTTTAAAGTATGGGATTTAGGAACCACTACTAGCACATGCTAAACTCTTCTCCTTACAGGATGCGTCCCCACATTGTCACAGCTCATATGACCACCCCTGGAGCCCATAGCAAAATTCCTGAGAAAGTAGTCACAGTGGAGGTCAGAATTCTCCAGCTCCTACTGTAAGAGGCTGAGAGAATTTATCCTCCCACTACCTGGCTAGGATTATAGTTTCATCAAAGAGAAAGTTTCCCACTGATATAATGTTATAAAGGATGATTGGCATATGTAAATCCACCACAACTATTATTCATCTCGATTATAAGTAAAATAAGATTTTGAAGAACACAAAACAAGAAGCAACTATTTATAAAAGTACTTAGGAAAAAAACAACTCATTGGTAAGTTTGTAATAGGAAGAACATTTTGAAATCTCATATGTTATGCTTAATATTTTATTTTTTTTCCCCTAAAACTGTAAAAGAAAACAAAAAACCAAAAACCAAAAAACACCACCTTTGGCCTGGGAGCCAGTTTTATTCTCATAATCTCCCTGTTGCATCCCCTTACCCTGATTAGAGTCAATTAGTAAATGAAAACATGAAAATATACTTGAATTTTGTTCTCTGAAAAATATGCAAGACTTGTGAATTTCAAGTATTTTCTCAACCAAACATGGATACTTACTAGTTAAAATTAAGATAAAAATCTTAAAAACCACTAATAATCTTCAATGCAAAGAACAATTGCAATTACTTCATGGTCTGATTATTGGTTCTGAGCTACATGGCACAAAAAACTAAATGTGCAATTATGTTTTATTTTAAGCTAGCTCTTATCTAACAAGGCACACCTAGAGGTGAGTTTAGGATCTTGATAATAGAATTAACCAGGAATTCGGATTATCAAAAATTTTAAAAATAATGCCCTTACACCTTGATTTAAATATCATCTACAAACAACAAATACTGTTAGAAGAAACTCAACAAAAGGCCAAAAAGCCTTCTGTCTGCGTAGGCATCAGGTAGTGTTACTCTATTTTGAGGGAGCCTACACTATGCTACTTTCACTCTCTATTAAATAAAGTGACTGTCCATATTTGGGTTGCAGCTATGGAGCACTTACAGCTCTTTATATCTATAAGGAGAGCAATGAGCCATCCAACCTAACTCAGTGGAGAGAACATTTACTAACAAAATGATTGTAGAGACCCATTGACTTGATGGATTTCCGGGATTGTGAAAATGGGAACAGATTTGAAAGCCTTTATCAGGCTCCTTTATCCATCCTCGCATAGCTTATTAGCATGACACAAGCTCCCAGGACTCTCTCTCTCTCTCTCTCTAATGACACTGTTCTATGAACCAATGAATGTTTTCATTTGGAAAATAAGAAAGCACTGACATATTATCTGAACTGTGGTTTCTTTAGTGATGCCAGGAGATTAAATATGCTAATTCTGTGCTTTGAGGAATGTACTGGATAAGGCCCATTACTTCACAGATTACAGTGGGTACTGGGCCTGGCTGAGAAAAGGTTAATAACACATACCTTGAAATACTTCATTAGGCAAAAGTTCTGACTTAGAAAACAGAAAATTTCAGTGACACTCTGATAGAACTTTAAAGTGGTGATTTTCATAACACATTTCATCATTTGTTAGCTTTGAAACCTGAAGCAATTCACCTCAAGCTATTGCTTGATTCTTCATAAAAGAAGCAATTACTATGAAAAAAAAAAACCAACTACCACATAAATCTTGAAATATTCCCAAAGTCTTCCCTAAATAATTCTTTCATATAGGAATAAAGGAGTCTTCTTCATATATACACGAGTGTACAAAAACACATTCTTCCCCCAAAAATTCTATTTCCTTTGGCTTAGTTAGGCGACAGCAGAAGTGCCAACACCATCTGGAGTTTCCCCTGGCTTTAAAACTGGAACGAAACAACTCTCAACATTTGCAAAACATTCCTTTATTATTAGAAATAAATTATTTGTATAAAAAATTGCATGCGTCAACCATTGCATTTATTTTTAGCACAACCCAGGGCTTCAATCCATCAGCCATTACAAGAAACAGATTCATTGTCTTATACAAGTGAACAATGTGGCACAGGAACAGGAGTTCTCACAATCACAGAAAAATACTTACAAGAGTAACATCAGACATGGTTTATTTCAACGGCATTTTTTTTTTCACAAGCTAACATTAGTTTTCCTTTTGTGATTTATTTTTAATTGCTCATGAGTAAGCAATACTTTAGCTTGAGACTTCATTGGTTGTATTGTATAAAATGGGTTTCTTCACTCTCTGTTGTTGATATTTTTGGCTCATGGCTACTTTTTGTTCCTCACAAGATTGACTATGGGTTTGATTGACTGTAGTCCAAAGAGATCTCCAAGAGTGAGTGTTGGTAGTGTCATGTTCATTGTTTGAGATCACATACCAGATTTCTTCATAGTGTGTCATTTCTCTGTTTCAGATTGAATGATCGCTGTAGCTGATATATGTTGTCTTGGTAGAGGAAGCTGTTAAGATAAATTAAGACAAATTAATAGTATGTAATAATAAATTATTTTGATAAAATGATTTTAAAATTCAAATTCCATACTGACTATTGTAATATTCACTTTGTACTATGTTACTTATTATTTTTAAACTATGTAGTAGGAATTCAGTGATTATAGGAATAAAAATGCTGCAGCAATTTTAATCTGTAAAACCACTAGCCTCACTTATGGTATAGGTGTTAGCAGAATATTAAAAATGTAACAGTTCTAAAAAAAAAAAATGTAACAGTTCTGATCTTTGATAAACTTGGGTAAATACAATTTTTAAAAAATATATTTTTATTGCTTTCAGAAAGGAGGAGAGAGGGAGAGAGAAATAGAAACATCAATGATGAGAGAGGACCATCGATTGGCTGCCTCCTGCACACCTCCCACTTGGGATCAAGCCCACAACCTGGGCATATGCTCTTGACAAGAATCAAAACAGGGACCCTTCAGTCCACATGCTGATGCTCTATTTACTGGCCAGGCTAAAATATAATTTTATGTATGTGTTGATTAATAAAGATGAAATATGAAAAATGAAAGGACAAATAAATTATCCTGCAATATGAAAAAAAAATTATTAAAGCCTCATTTAAATTCTTTGAGTCTACTTTGATGACCAAAAAGGGTTACTAATTATAATTAGTTGTACTTTGAAAATGAATATATCTTCCATTTAAAAATAATACTTAGACTCTAAAAAGGAACATAATAAAATATCAAGTACATGGAATATTTATAAACATTAAAGTAAATATGTGTATTGCCAATACATATTTATGATCTGCTTTCATCCAACGGATACAAATGGAGAAGTTTAAAAAATAAATAGACTCAAAGGAGGATATGAATATTTAATTATATTAGTACCAACTTACTATGAAGTAAAACTCATTATTGTAAGATTTTTACAAAGATATAAATAAGAAAATATTCTAAGTCAAATTTATACTCATGCTTACATTTCCAGAGAATCTAAATCCAAAGAATTCCTTTAGGTTTTTGAAAGATGTTTTTCTATAAAATTCTGGAATGAATAATCTGAAGAAGAAATTTATGGAAAGCATGCAAACTCTATGTGTTTCATTACATAGATCCAATTCAGGATGGAACAAATTTTTAAAGAATAATTTAGTGTTATATGGAGGCTAAATGGAAAACAGAAGACTCTTCCTTACGTATGCTGTCTACAAGAGACTCACTTTAGATCAGAAGATATAAACATATTGAAAGCATAGGGGTAGAAAAGATACTTATTGGAAATGAAATTAAAAAAAGCTGAAAAAATAGACTTTAAAACAAATGATATGTAACAAGAGACAAAGAAAGAACCAACAATTCCACTTGTGGATATGTATTCAAAATTGAAAGACATATACATCTACCCTGTTTCCCCGAAAATAAAACAGTGTCTTATATCAATTTTTTCTCCCAAAGTTGCGCTAGGTCTTATTTCGGAGGATGTCTTATTTTCCGGGAAACACGGTATATGCTCATTGTGGCATTATTTACAATAGCAAAGATAGAGAAGAAATCTAAGTGTCCATCAGTAGATGAAGAGATAAAGAAGAGGAGATTTTATATACATAAACATATATATATATATATATATATATATATATATATATATATATATATATATATATATATGAATGACACAGCCCTAAAAAAAGAATGCAATAACATGGGTGGATCTTGAGGGTAAAATAAGTTAGACAGAAGTAAAATAAGTTAGACAGAAGAAGACAGTGCCATATGATTTAACTTATATATGGAATCTAAAGAACATAATAAACAAACAAGCAGAAAAGAAACAGACTCATAAATACAGAGAACATTTTGATAGTTGCAAATTGAAAGGGGTTGAGTGGATAGGAGAAAAAAGTGAAGGGATTAAGAAATGCAAATTGGTAGTTACAGAATAGTCACAGGGATATAAAGCCCAGCATAGAGAGTATAGTCAATAATCTATAATAATAAAAGCATAATATGCTAAATAGACTGGATGTCCTTTCAGATGACCTTCTGAACAAAGCCAGGGCTGTGAGGGAAGCCTGGGTCCCAGATGCCAGAGGGAAGCCAGTGCCAGCAGCCAGGGGAAGGAAGGCCTACTCTTGCACAAATTCCATGCATTGGATTTCTAGTATTATAATAACTATGTATGGTGTCAAATGGGTATTAGATTTACTAGGGTAATCACTTAGTAAGTTATGTAATGTATAATCACTGGGCAGTACACCTGAAACTAATATAATATCGTATGCCAACTGAATATAAAATAAAAATAAAATATTTAAAGTAAAAAAAAATGTATAATTTAGTTTTTGAATATTGAATAAGAATATTCCTCTTAAGCAATTGGCAATCAGGCTCATTCCATTTTAGTGGACATAACCACTGATTGACCAGATAAACTCTTACCGGATACTGAGATCATGCCAAGTTCACCATCACTAAATTAGCATGGATAGTCCAAAGAAGTGATAATATTTTTGCTATGTTTAATATCCTTGAATATTATGAGCTTCATGCCAAAAATAGGTGACACATCTGCTTATATTATTTATTTTGTTCACACTCCTAAGTTATTTTTGTGGCACAGTTTAAAGGAATATTTTAGACCTGGTTTTAAGTTATGTTTCTTGTACAATGAGTAAAAAAATTCACTGGTCCTCAGTTTCATCACAGGTCAAAAATGTAAAACATTGTTTCTTTGGTTTTTTGGTTTTGTTTTTGTGAGCATGGAAGTAGATTTGTGAGAATGGAAGCAGAAATAGGTTTGTGAAGGGCCAGCTGGTGTCTAAATGAATCAATATAGAATTCTATTCTTCTACTTACCTTTCCAAGTGAAACATAATGATTTTTATGCTTGTTTGCTTTATTGTTTTATTTTTATTTCTAACTTATATAATGCTTTCAGATGTCTCTAAATTTCTTTAAAAGAAAATAAAATCTTCAACCATGTTTTTGAAGGCCTTTCATAAAATTTTGCAGGCAAGATAAAGAAAAATTGTGATAAGAGTTAGAAAATGACCCTTAACAAGGTTGTTCAATTGCAAGGCTTATTCAATATATTCAACAGTAACTAAAAATATACAAAATATTTATCAAATCCATAGGTAGCTAGAAAAATATGATTGAAATATAAGAACAAAGGTCTTGAGGAAGATGATATTTAGATGTTAATTCAACTTAAAATGATTTAGATTACTGTAGACCATCTTTAAGAATCATTCCAACTTAAAGCTCATAGCTAGTTAAAGATCCATACTTCATTTTTTGAACTCCTAGAAGTAATCTTCAGAGGAAAAGATGATAGAATTCTATTGAGAATTGAGACTATCATGTACAAAGGGAAAGAAATCTTAATTTTTCTAATGTTTACAAAAGGGAGTGCAGGGCTCTGATAACCAATGACTTAGTCAACATGAAATCAGTGATAAGGCACAAATCTGCGAATGGCAAGGATCTTTATCCCAGAAGTATTACAGAGTGAAATCCATTAAAGATGCAGAGATGAGTTAATAGAGAGAATTTTTACACAGGTAATGAATATGCTAATGTGAAAAATAGTTTTAGAATACAGCAACAATGAATTTCCTGTGCACACCACATGGTGCTCATAAGCTAGACAAAGCAGATCTACCTTCTACAGATGCTGTTTTCATGAATTATGCATGAACATAGCTTAAGGAGTATCATGTGACAGCCTTTGTTAGTTGGATACAGTTGATAAAATTTATATATATCAACTTTGTTTCTAACTCCCTTCACAAACTTTTATGAAAGAACAGAAGCTGTTTTGTTTGGAATGATGGATTCTGCGAATTTAGTAAGTAACATAGACCTCTTGGTCTTTTTCCCCAGTTTCACATTACTTACATTTTTCTGCATTTTGAAGCTTTAAAACCTTAAATATGTGACCAGAATTCCTGGCATTGATAAGACATCATTAAGATGAAGTTTTTACAAATAATGGACTAGTAGAGCTGCTCCATGGCCAGGAAGGACAAAAGATTGCATGCATATCATAAATCATAGCTAATTTGTCAGAAAAAAAAAGACCCACAAGAATAGAATTATAGTCATAATCACCAAAATCCTCAACATGTTTATAAAAAGAGAGAGGAATGCTAAAACAACAGTTTTTTAATTTTATGTCTTCTCTTTTCTATTAGCCACAGGCCAATCTATATATTCATGGCAACAATGATATATTTACCTGTAAATGTTGATTTACAGTTTACAAAGCACTTTCATGAATGCCACTGTCACTTCACTGTAGTGATTTATCAAGTCTGGTAGCAGAAAGTATGATAATGCAGCCACACAGATGCTGTATCAGTGCATTCATCAGCCCTGGATTTATTGAGAATATACTCCACCCATTTCAAGAGGAGATGTTTAAATCTGAAGAGGGATGGTATTAGTTAAATGGCAAAGGCCTTTTTAGTACTTAGTTACACTTTTAAAGACATAAGACATATTTTTAGAAGACATCTATAACATTCAAATATTTGAGTTTTTGAAACTTTTAGAGGGTTTGTGATTTTAGAAGACTTTTGACCTCATTAAAACTACTGGTATATGTAGCAAAGATAACGGGGACACAAGAGTTCACAGTACTGGCCATGTAAGTGAGTGAAGGTTAACAGTGGTTACCTGGAGTGGGATTGTGCAAGGATGTGTGAAGATTTCATGCGGTTTCTCTTGAATGTGCAAACTTTGGGTGCAATTTACTCAAACCCAAACTACTCCTATAAAAGATGGATACACTCAAATCTCCAAGGTATAATTTACCTTCATCTAGGTAGTAATTGATTTGCTCTTGATTCACCCTTTCAACTTGATTTGTATTCTAAAAGTGAGTATCAACTCCTCAAGAATATTACAGGCTTACCTTCTATACACGTCCCACAATTGCAATATTTATTATTTCAGAGAAAACAGGAAAATGTACACATATTATATATTTTCTGTTGATAATTTCATCATCCACAGAAAAAAATAGAAGAGAAAGAAAACGTATGGATTATTTCTCTAATATGGGATTAGTCTTTAGCAACACTCAAAACCTTCCTCTTCAAGGAACCTATTTTCTTTTTAAAAGGTTAAGAAACACTGATGACTTTTTTTTCTCACTACAGTTCAGAAATGAGTCTGGGATCACTGGTATTGATTTCACTATATCTTTGGATGTTCTATTTGCAACTGTATTACATAAAGTTTTCTGGATTAAGACTAAAAAAACAAGTGCAACTATAGATTCTGATAGATCATACTAAGACGTGTCAGTGTTCAAAATGTATCATTGGCTAACAGCAGTTTCCTGGCATTCTACAATAGATTTTAACTTCCTGCCCTGATGCTTTCAAGACAGAAAACACAGATAAAATTCTGCCCTCAAATCACAAACATTCTACCCTGAATGCATTGAGAATAGCTATAGGACATTGTTGGCTAAGAGACCAAATAGGCTCATTATTAGTAAATTGCTAACCTATAATCAGAGATGATTGTAATAATATTTTATGATAATCCATCCTTGTCATATCTGTTCCTGCAGTTTCTCAAGGTTGCATATTTACAGAAAGGTGAATATGTGGGGAGTGTCTGTAGATTTACTAAAAAGTTTATTTCTCTACAAGTGACTACATTTGGTATTAGTAGAAGTAATCTTCACTAGATCTGGCTAATAATTCTAACAAGCTGATAGTAATTTAAGCCAATAAGTTTAATTAATCAATACTTATCTTCTAAGGATATTTTTGCATATGGGGTATTTAGAGTAGACAATATTCATCTGGAAATCTTGATGATTATATATCTAGTGAAGACTAGAAGTTATAATAATAATTAAGTCAGATAAAAACAACTCTTAATCTTCCCTGAATTTCATGTCAAAAGTACAGAGAATTGGGGAGACAGCCTGCCCTGCTGGAGGAATCTGAGAGGAAGACAGTAATTTTGCACAGGATTTTAGCCTGAATTATTAAATATACATGTTGTATCCCCAAAAGACAGGAAGTCCCTCTAATTCAAATGCCTTAGCTTTTATTTCTTTTTGATCCATCTACAGAACTATTGATAGTACTGTGATGTTGGTTACTTTTGTTTGTTAGTGTTAACTATACTCAGGTTTCTGGTATTTTTTATAATATAAATCTTCAAACATTTGCTACTCTTCGATAGATACCAGGAAGAACTGCATAGATCAGTTAATCTCTCTTAGATTACCTTGGTACCACTCTATCACTATCATGTGCTTGTTTAGGGATGGACTGTGGAAGGTAGACGAGGAAGGGAAAACACAGTGGTGGTTGTGGAAAGGATTCTATTTTCAGGATCACAAGTCTTTCAGGGGAGAGCTCTAATTATATTAATTTATTCAACGAGGGAAGTCAAAAGAAGCCAATGAAGGGGACCACTTGTGGAAAATAAGTGTTAACTATCCTTTAACCTCATATGTCAGTTCACCAGTTTTCACATTTCCCCAAATATCCAAATGACATTTATTTGTGTAAGATCTTTGATAGTATGTCCCATAAATATTAGGTAGCTATTAGGTCTATAAAGAGCAACCAATAATGAACTAACAAAGATTAACGATTTTTTTCCTAAATATTAAAAGGTAAGTTTTATATTTGGAAGATAGTTCCAAGCTCAGTAATGCCTCCAAAGAGAGACCTGAATGTCATACTTTGTAAAGAGATTGTGTGTGCATGGTATGCTTTTCAGAAGAGCCAAGCACCTTGAAGACATTTGGTTAGAACCAAATGGATCTCACAGCCATGATGGTCTCATGGTGTGCAAGTTCCATCATGCCCCTGGAGCCATGTGGCGCAGAACCCAAGACTCGTAGAAGAATGTCCAACGTACATCTATTAGGAAGTGCTCCCGCTCTTGACCATCGGAAAGTCTACAGATGACTTACTGTTGGTTTCAAGACTCTCACAGAGTTCATTTTTCACCTCGCCGTTGGGTCTGTCATTCCCTTTTTGGATCAGTTTGCTTTGCATTGTGGCAGCTGTCACCACAGCCTTGAAGCTCCTTTTGCGTTTTTGAACGTTCTGCTCTGGATGAAAAATTATAATATAAACCTTGGGCATATAGAGCATGCCCAAAGACACCGAAGCACTTAAACTCATGGAGACGGTAAGTGTTGTTGTTTGGATGTACATCTGAAGGGAGGAAAAAGAAAATTAATGTTGGTAAACCTGATCGAAGATAAAGCAAATAACATAATCGTTTTCTGAAATTATTCCAGCTTCTCTGCTTAACTTGAATGAAAAGGCACTTATGGAAATTGCCCTTAATTATAGTCAAGCATTTCTTCATCCCTTCTGCAAATACAGGTAAGTTTGGATTGTTTAGGAAGTCCAGTTGTCAAAACAAATAGACAACATATATATGATCCTTATTAATATCTGTTCACACTAATAATACCTCTGAAAATGTAAAGTCATCAAATTATATCTGGAAAGCCCAGAACCCAAGCTAATTGTGTCCTTTTTAATAAAGGATCCAAAAACATTCAACTTTGGGTGGAGGTGGAAGAAGGCACAGAGGGGATAAAAGGTAATGGGGGTAAAATAAATACACAGTATTAATATTTTAAAATAAATAAACAAAAAACATTCAACTTCAAGGGTAAATACCTGAACCAACCTCAGGATTGCATGGTCCTAGGGGAGACAGTTTCTCTGAACAAATAATAAAGACTTGAGGTAAAGATCTATCCAAACCATGAGGAGAACTTCAGTCACTAGTATAGAGACTGTCCCTGTTTGTGAAATCTACCATTAGGTTACTGATTTTGCTATTCAATACATCTACCAGTAAGGTTGTCTTTTTGCACAAGACCACATTGTGAGCATGTGAATACCTTCAACAGGTGATAGAAAATATGGTTTGTTTCAAAGTTCTCTTCCTCCAGGAACTCATCAATAATAAATCTTATTGTAAAGAGAATGTTCTTTTTTAATTTTACTCTTAGTGCCTAATACAATGAAAAATTAAAACAATAGAGCACTTCCTTAATGTATAATGATGTGATTATAATCATTTATATGCACTTTGTAGCAAATTATATGAAATGTATAGCCAGAATATAAACTTTGTTAGAGTCAATTATCTATATTTTTTCTTACACACGCCGAAGAAACTACACAAGACTCTAGACACAATAATAACTCAGAAACTTCTCATTGATTTTTGTGTGAATATCTTCAGGAAGATATGACTTATACTCAATTTGATTTACACAATTGTACAGAATCTGCTTCCTATAATATTCCACCCTGTCAAACACACACCAGTATTGGCTATGACACATGGCTGATGACATCTCAAGTCAGCAGCACAATGCGTAGCCTCAGTGGAGCTCATGCATGTTGGGCTCATGTATACCTGCCTAATAGAGACATGATCCCAAAGATTCTGTCAGCAAAGTCATAAATTACTACATGGCATGACCTCATGCTAACTGCCAATAAATGAAACTCACAATAAATTAGAAAGGACTGAGGTCTCCCCCATGGCGACCACCCCTTCCCTGCCGCTGAGTGAGCTCCTGCACTCCACAGAAGAAGACAACACCCTGTCCGTCTCCTCTGAACAGGTGGTGCCACGAACCCCTGTCACCATGAGTGAAGCCTCCCCCATAATGTGGACTTGCGCCTACTACCTCTTTGAGTTTGAGCACTGTTAGGCCGTGCCTATGGTGATGGTTGCCACATTCCCTGGCAGCTCCAGTGACAGCAGCACCTGGTCCCAGGAGCAGGCAGGAAATCTGGGGACTGAGGAGATGCTGTTTACATCCATCAGCGAGTCCCTGCCCATACTGCCTGACTCAGACCCCCTGCCTGCTGCCCCTGGCACTGCACACTCAGACGAGGACATGGAGAGCTGCCTGACTCCAAGTCCCCCACCACTGCCCACCTTGCCCCCCAGCTGCATGGTGGACTCCCAGCTGCTGCCCCTGAAACAAGCCTTGCTGATAGAGAGCCTAAACTGTACCCAGAAGTCCCTGGCTTGCCCCACCCCCAGCACTGCCAACCCCAAACCCACGCTAGTGATCACCACTAAGACCAAGGGGCTACCTGGACCAGTCTGTCACTCAGCTCCCAGAGCAAGTCCAGTGACAAGAGAGATCTGGCACCCCTGCCTAGAAAGTCCCTGGACTCATCCGAGTCAGCCAGCAATGGCCAGGTGAGTTGGAGGCCTTATTTGGCTCCCCTGTCTACCTTGTTCTGGCTTACCTGCCCCAGCAGGCAATGTCTGCCTGGTTGGTGAGGAATTCTTTCAGAGGGTGCAAGTGCTCTGCTACATCAGCAGCAGCCAGACCAGCTCAAGGAAGAGGGCATGTATGATCTCCAGGAGACCCTGATCCATACCTTCCCTCAATGGCCATGCAAGAGTGGTTTTAGGAGACAAAAGCCTGGAATCAGGCGCTGGACATTAGTCCATGTAGGAGAAGGCCTTTCCACTAACCCTCATCCCCCACCTCCTCAGCCCACTGTACTGAGTCACTACATCAGAAATAAACCAAGTGCCCCACTTAGAGAGAGAAAGAGAGAGAGAGAGAGAGAGAGAGAGAGAGAGAGAGAGAGAGAGAGAGAGAGAGAGAGAGAGAGAGTTTTGTAAACTGCAGACCTGTGCCTTTAAGCCATATAAATCTCTCACCTACTTTTAAGCAAGTTATATGCATACTCATAAACTTCTCCTGGGGTGATTAATCCTCTCTGAATTCCTACCTATTCTCCAACTAGCATTGCTATGCAGCAAATGGGCTTCAGACAAAGGACATAAAGATAAGGAAAGGATATAGCCAAACAGCAAGCAGATCAAATAGGTAACCATCAGCTTTGTCCCAGTAAGACCCTGCAAGTCAATTTAGCTTAGAAGAAAACATACAAAAAAAAAAAAAACAACAACAACTCTAGACATCAAACAGCCATGAAATAGCAGGAACAGCACACTGAACAGCTGGATTATTTTTATGTCTTAATCTGTTGGTCTTGCTAAAATGTATGTCCTAGTTCAAGTAATACATAAACACCTTTGTATCTTGAAAATCTTGTAAATTTTCTCTGCTGCCATAAATATAAAGGATAATTTTCTTTCATGATTCAACAGAGAAATGGAGATTTAAAATGATGTTTGAAACATATGGTAAATTTAATATTGCAAAATATTAGGCATGAGGAAAATTCTGGAATTCCAGATTCCACATTAAATGCATTACTGCAGTCTCTCTTTTCAGCAAACCAGCTCATTGGAAAATGTAATGAACAGAGACATGAGAATTAAACAGTACTGTGTTCAGTGTTCCAAGCTCTCCATTAGACACTATGCTGTCAAAGTCCACCAAAATGCTGAACTTACTTGCGTGCTCTTTCAAAACAGCTTCTGAAAAAATGTAATGTGAATTTAATTCAGGAAAAGCACCTATTCAGAAATCACACCCTAAAATCCCAAATCTCACAGTGGCCTACCACTTGTTAGAGGACCTTGCACAGACAGTAGATTGAACTTCATTTTTAAATACTTAATGAAATGAAAAAGTCTTATCTGTCATAATCCCAATGAAAGCAACAACAACAAAACAAGAAAAGAATAAGAATCCTACCTCCTCTCATTCTAGGGGAACTACCGTAAATGTGAGCTATCATGGCTTATAGGATTCTGACTTTCTCCCATGTCTGAAGAAGTGGAGAGATTATATTAAAAGATTAAACGTGAGCACTTAATTAAAAAAAAAACACACACAACTCATAGATTTTTGTATAATCCACAGAAAATTCTAGTTATTTGAGCCATATAAGAAAGAATTGGCACCACTTATAGTTTGTTATTTTTTGGCAGGGTGGGGGGTGGTGGTTATTTTAGAGATAAAGACATTTATAGAGAAACTTCGGAGTTGCTGTGTGGGTGGTAAGAGCTCCAAGTCGACCCACCTGGTGATAATCCAAACTAATAAAAATTCCCTGGCCACTGGACAGCTGTGTGATTTCATTTTCCTCTCTGACCTTTAATTTCTTCCCTATGAAATGGGGGAAGTAATACTTTTCTCATAGAAGGGTTTAAGGTGTGTGACAATCTTTATAAAATGTTTCAAAAGCACAACATAGTAGTAACACAACAAAGGATTTTTGCCCTACAGCTCTGTATCTGAAAGGATGCCAACAAAGCATTCTCCCATCTCTAGAGGACCAGAGAGGGGCTTATAAGCTTGTATCCAAAGCAGACGGTTGTGTTTACTGAATAGCTGACAGCCATCATCTAACTATATGATGTCAAGAAAAAGGCTTTTGTGATCTTACTTCAAAGTAGGCTGAATAAAATTATGCTCCAAAGTCAATTCCATTTGCTGATGTCAAGGCTATATTCCCTGTCTGTGCTACAGTCTTGGAAGAACACACTGGCTCTCTGTATCAAATTGTGGCTCACCAGAATGTGGGAGAGAACTAGATTAACTCCCTGGAACCAACATAAATCCAGTGAAAGATGCAGACAATGGCTTCGGAAATGTTAATGTAACCTTCTTTCTTCCAATCTGTTTGTTTTTTTTAATTTATTTTTTATGCCCCACCTTCTGCCCCATCATTCCAAAATATTAACACCCAGAGGATGGAGAGGATCTTTCCTATTACATATACTGATGGCCTGCCACCCCCCCTGCCTCCAAGCTCCATGGACATTTTGAACGTGAAGCAGTCAGAGGCACTGAGTAGATTGAAGCAATCTTGGTTTTAGCCAGGGAGGAACTGGCACAAAGGAGTTACTAACATGACATCTTTTCTGAGACCTATTATAGCTCTCTCTTCATTCTCTGAAGGGTCATTTGTGCACATCCAGGGTCTACTGAAAGCAGGGCATGGCCTGGATCATTAGAGACTCCAAGAAGAGTGAGGAGGGAGATTACATTACTAAAGGTGGGACTTTTACTTCAACCAGCTACCTGCACACAGAATTCCATAACTCTGATATTCAAGCTGTTACTTGTCCAATGCTTTAGTGACTAAGATAACCAATTCTTAGACCTAACACTCAAGGCAGGTTTGTGCAATGTAGTAAAAACACACTCATTATTTAATCTTGACTATTTCTGCCCTACCCTAGATGTCTCAGTTTTTGCTACAGTAAGCCCAGTTCTATTTGGCTGCTTACCACATAGTTT